CTATGACAGTAACTAGTGGTAATGATATCCAACTATGACAGTAACTAGTGGTAATGGTATCCAGCTATGACAGTAATGTTACCTTGTTATGATACTGCAACAGCTGTATGATAATCCTTACATCGTCAGAGTAGTTTTTGATGGATATCACTCGCATGATGTTTGCTGCATCCTCGGCATCAGGATCGAGACAATACTTGTTGGCTAGAACCAGGCACGCATCCGCCTCGTGAACCTGAACCAGAAGATTTCACTTTTCTTAGAAAATAACGTAAAAAAAAACAATCTACGACTAAGTGCTCTGTAAATAGAATGTCATTAAATACAGGCTTGACCAGTTAGGTCGATCAGTCGGACAATTTTATGATAGTTAAAGATTATAAACAGATAAAATTTGCACACACCAGAACCTTCTTGTGAAGTATTTATGCGAAATTCAAGAAGAGTTCATCTTAAAACTTAATTTTAGTGATATAAACAAATTTCAGTGTGATACAAACAGAAAGTGATGACATTTTTGCGAAATATTTTTGTTAGATAACCATCCTTTTGATTTGAGTCCCACTAGATCAGCGGTAGACATGAAGGCTTATAACGCTAAAAACTGGGTTTGGATACCGCGAAACATAGCACATAACCCATCGTGTAGCTTTGTGAGTAACAAGAAAGTGACATTTGAACTTAACATGGCCACGCTACTTAAATACGGAATTTTAGTGAACTTATGATTTTAGCTTATGATTAACATTAGGAATAGTCAAACATTAGGGTTAACTAGCCTACTGACAAATGACGTAACATTGTACATGTGCATCTTTACTTGAGATGTGTGTATGAAAGGTCTCTATGAGGTAGCAAGTAAGATTGGTTCCTAGTTAGCTTATCTTTACTTGACATGTGTGTATGAAAGGTCTCTATGAAGTAACAAGTAAGATTGGTCCCTAGTTAGCTTATCTTTACTTGACATGTATGTATGAAAGGTCTTTATGAGGTAACAAGTAAGATAGGTTCCTAGTTAGCTTATCTTTACTTGACATGTGTGTTTGAAAGGTCTCTATGAGGTAACAAGTAAGATTGGTTCCTAGGTAGCTTATCTTTACTATACATGTGTGTATGAAAGATCTCTATGAGGTAAGAAGTAAGATTGGTTTCTAGGTAGCTTATCTTTACTTACCTTTACGCGCTGTAGATCAATTGGACTCATAACTGATCCTTGAAAAAATTCTACAGTCGTGAAATTTCTCTTTATCAATCCCTCTAGTTCCAGATCTGGTGTTTTCCTAAATACATAATAAAACACTTGTTAACCCTCTAGTTCCAGATCTGGTGTTTTTTCTAAATACATAATAAAACATTTGTTAACCCTCTAGTTCCAGATCTGGTGTTTTTCTAAATATGTAATAAAACATTTGTTAACCCTCTAGTTCCAGATCTGGTATTTTCCTAAATATATAATAAAACACTTGTTAACCCTCTAGTTCCAGATCTGGTGTTTTTCTAAATACATAATAAAACATTTGTTTACCCTCTACTTCCAGATCTGGTGTTTTTCTAAATATATAATAAAACATTTGTTAACCCTTTAGTTCCAGATCTGGTACTTTTCTAAATAGATAATAAAACATTTGTTAACTCTCTAGTTCCAAATCTGGTATTTTCCTAAGTAGATAATATAAACATTTATCAATCCTTCTAATTACAAATCTGGTATTTTTTTAAGTAAATAATATAAACATTTATCAATCCTTCTACTTCCAGATCTGGTGTTTTTCTAAGTTTTTCACCTACCTCTTTATTCACTCCCTTTAGCTTTTACTTCCATGCTATGAAAGTTTAATATTAACATTTTTATCTTTTGTTTGAATATTCCAAATAATCTTACTAGCTAACTATTATGTAATGTACAATTGCTTTCTTTGGTTTGAATGATAACACTTCAAATATTGTATAGGAACTTACACACCAAATATATGAACCAATATAGTTAGCTTAATATATAGAGTTAGGGCTAGCCTAAATCTCCTAAGGTGGCCGGAAGTCGTACGTTATTATTGGGATTACGTCTGAAATTATCGAAACTATCCAACTGATGAAACAACACATTATAGTTATCACAGAGTTGGTAGACTCTGTATGTAGGGACGGTCAAGGTACTCAATAGGTATATTACAAAGATACACATTATAATTATCACAGAGTCAGTAGACTCTGTATGTAGGGACGGTCAAGGTACTCAATAGGTATATTACAAAGATACACATTATAATTATCACAGAGTCAGTAGACTCTGTATGTAGGGACGGTCAAGGTACTCAATAGGTATATTACAAAGATACACATTATAATTATC